ATATATATATATATATATACATATATATATCCATATATGTACTATACACAAAATTTATTGCGTATATTAATATATACACACTATTATACACAAAACGTAACACCGTTGCAATTTCAGATAGGAATGCCCTACTAAAAATAGGTATCCATTTGTCGATCTTGATTGAATCATAAATTGTATATACATATATGCATGCTTAACTACACACGTATAAGAGCACGTATGTATGTATATATATATATATATAGAGAGAGAGAGAAAGAGAGAGAGAAATACATACATATAAATACATATATATACATATATATGTGTGTATATATGTATGTATATACATCCATACACAAATATGATATAACATCATATTTATGTATATATATATATATGTATATACGCACGCACACGTGTGTAATCATCGATCGACAGATCACATTCAATAGATTAATTTATCGTTTTAAATGCACAAATTACGAATCCAAGTTTCGCAGTTTACTATTCGATACTATGATTATAATTCGTACATATATGCCCTCTTCTATTTGCACGCTTATACACGCGCAGATTATTATTTTTATTTTTATCGATTAAAAATTCATTTAACGCAAATTCTTTAATTTATGCAAACGCTTCTGTTTACTTTGTTTATATTGTTATTTCTTGTTATTTGATATTTGATATTTGAAATTCTGAATTTATAACTTTTTATATCGACAGATTTAAAAATGATGAAATATATAAAAGAAGAGAAAAAAGAAGAAGAAGAAGAAGATGAATAATAATAAAATGAAATAATTTCAAAAAATTAAATAATCAAAGAGAAAAGATAAAATAAATCTACTTAAAATCTACTTTAAAATTAAAATCATTTCAAATAATAAAAATGGAGAGCGAAATGCAAGAAAATAAAGAATATTTTTCTAGATAACATTTAGCAGAATTCGTATAGAAGAGAGCATTAATCGCCAAGATGAAACAATCATTGTAAATTGATGAACCGCAATATGTGAAAATCCTCTCTTTAATCGAAGTGTCGTTATTGCAAGTAAGAGAATGTGCGCTTAGATGTTTGGGGCTAACGTGGCCTCATCGAACTATTCAGAGGTTGCATGAGACCTCCATTTATGTAACCGTGATACGTTGTATACACTGCTGCTGGATTTTGTTGATGCGGATCTTGAGGGTACGGTGCAGGTACATTAACGACTCCAACAGGCAATTGACTGGCTTGATTCATGAAACCACCAAGTTGAGCCGCTTGATTCATGTAACCGGTAGCAGGTTGTGCTACTCGATAACCATATTGGGCCATTAGATTTGTATTTAATGCCACGTTAGGACTAACTCTACTAGCGGCGCTCTGCATTTGAGGACAGGTACTTCCAGGATCGAGAGTTTGACGATATAAGCTCTCGCTTGGGTATGGTTGTGCAAGAGACGCCATATTTGCATTTGCTGATGATCTTGAGGTTGATCTACTGGGTGGTCCTGGAGTAGTAGGTGGTACTGTGTTGACATTATAATAATTTTTTGCATAACCAAGAGGTACTTGAGGCGGTGTCGGTAATTGTCTCGACGTTTGCGGTGGTGTCATAGTGTGCGGTATAGGAGGTGGTGGCGTTAAATTCATCGCTGGAGGAGGCGTAGGAGGAATCATTTCTAATCCATTAGTCAATTGTTGTAATTTTGCTAAACTGCACGAATTTGTCGTTTGATGATTTCCAGAAGCTGAGAGAGAAGGTGCTGGTGTATGCGAATGCGGTGGCATCGCGCTTGTTTGAATATAAAAATTTGTCGCTGTAGTACATGGCGTCGGTGCACCAGATCTGCTACTTCGATGTTGAATCACATATGTATTTTGCGTTGGAAAAGTTTGAGAAGCAACAGCCATATAATTCCCTTGAGAAATAACAGCCATATTGTGTGAATGAGCAGCATGCGTGTGAGAGTGAGGATGCGGATGAGGAACAGGTGGTACACTCATTGACGAGGATTGTTGATATTGTGGAGGTACATGCGTCGTATGTGCAACCGTCGTATGGCTCGTGTGGGAGGTTGTATGACTCGTGTGAGAGGTGGTGTGACCTTGCGAAGAGACTTGAGCATGAGACGTAGGAGGTGTCGTTCGATGGGATCGGCTTTGCTGTGTTGATCTAGATCTATGAGTCGTTTGTGAACCACTAGCCCTTTTATTACTATGAGATTGCGTTTGCGATTGTTGTTGTTGTTGTTGTTGTTGATGTGCAGATTGTTGTTGTGCAGATTGTTGTTGTCCTTGAGATTGTTGCTGGTTTTGACCATGCGCCATACTTTGATTTTGCGTTTGTTGAGTCAAAGATAATTGCATCGGTTGCGGTGTGTGAGACGGTGGCAAAGGTTGCGGTGTATGACTTTGTCGCATCGGTTGAGGACTTTGGGTCGGTATACTCTGCGGTGTATGAGATTGCGAAAGAGGTTGCGGAGTATGAGATTGAGGTAACGGTTGCGGTGTATGACTTTGCGGAATAGGTTGTGGACTTTGCGTTTGTATACTTTGAGGCGTGTGAGATTGCGGAGTCCGCGGCTGCTGAAGAGGTTGAGGTGTATGAGGCTGATGCATCGGATGGATATTAACGTGCGTTGGTGGAGTATGTTGAGGCATCGAACAATCAGTATATTGTACTTGCGGCGATATATTTACACCAGCGGACGTAACCGGAGTTATTTGCATAGGTACTGAAATTGGAACCGTAACCGATGCTGGCATCGAGGGTAATGCACTAGGTGGCCTTTCCACGCTATTTTGCGACGCAAGATCACTTGCGATCGATGTAGGAGACTCTAGTCCTAATTGACTCACGTCTAAATCGCAATGACCGTAATGCAACGAATGAACTGAATTAGTTGTTGAATCAGGTGTGTAAACTCCCATAGATGGTAAATCTGGTTGCGAAGGAGGCGTTCGTTTTACCGAACCAGGATTATCCAAATGTGGCGTGGTTTTACCACTTTCGGGTGAATTTTGTTTCAATTCTTCGGAGTGTGTTTGAAGATGAACAGTAGTTTCTTGTTGTTCGATAACGGGCAAAACTTTTTCTTGCGGCGTAAGTGGTCCTGTTTCGGGTGATGCTATATTAGAAATCACAGAAGATGATTCTTTTCTATTATCCGTAGATGTTGCACAACATGTTTCTATCTTTGGTCTCGTCAACTCTTCTTTCGAATTTTTTAACATTAATCTTTCGGAAATTCCATCAACTTGTCTATAACTATTTACATCTTGACCAACAGTTTTAAATTTTTCAATTTCTTCTTCTTTAGGCGAAGAGAGGTCAGGTACCAATTTAGATGTTTCTGAATTACACATTGTTTTTTCAGATTTCTCTAAATCTTTATCAAATTCTCCTTTCGTAACTTCATTTTGTTTTTCTTTCCCTTTCTTTGCCTGTGCTCCTTCACGTTCGTTTTCGCTTTCGTTTCCGTTTCCGTTTCCGTTTCCGTTTTCATTTTCATTTTCATTTTCGTTTTCATTTTCGTTTTCGTTTTCCTTTTCATTTTCGTTTTCGTTTTCATTTTCATTTTCATTTTCATTTTCGTTTGCATTTTCGTTTTCGTTTTCATTTTCGTTTTCGTTTTCATTTTCATTTTCATTTTCGTTTTCATTTTCATTTTCATTTTCATTTTCATTCTGATTTTCATTTTCATTTTCATTTTCATTTTCATTCTCATTCTCATTCTCATTCTCATTCTCATTCTCATTTTCGCCTTCATCTTCACCTTCAGCTCCACCTTCGCCCTCATCATCATCTTTATTCGCACCGTTTTCACCCTCACCTTCCCTCTGTATCTCTTCTTCTATGACACATAATTCTGATTCCGATTTCGGTTTTTGTAAAGAGAGAATGATATCAACATTCTCGAGTTTCTTTTCTTGTTCATTATCTTTTGTATTTTCAGTTCGTTCGTTTGAATCATTTTTCATACGAGTTACGGATTTCGATTTAAGTGCAGGTACTTCTTCTTCGCCTTCATCTTCGTCTCCTCCTTCGTATTCTCCTGGACTAGCAGATATTGTTACTTCTGTTTCCGGAAGAATGGCTGAAGCGTTCTTTGAGACATCAGTATTACCACCATCGACATTTTCCAGTGTACTATTATTGCTATTAATTAATTTTTCCGTTGTATTATCAATTTCTTTTTCCGTAGAGACTGTCGATAATTGTTTCAAGGCGGGAGACGATTGTTGTCTCTTGCTCGTTAAAATAGAATCGTTCTTCTCTTCAGAACATGATGATGGAGATAACAATGGTGGAAGTATCACAGGATTTTCGGATCGATCTTTTATAAGGGTTTGCGGTTTCAATTGCGGCATCTTTAACGCTTCTTTCTCCACTTTTGCCCTTCCCCGTCTCGATACTGGCAAAGTTTTCAAAATATCTTTTGTGTCGTCTTTTCCATTACACTGATTCTGTTCCGAACTGTTTTGTTTCTTTTCTTTCGCTTGCTTCGTTTGTAAGCATTTAGTTTGCCGGCTGGTCACTTTTAATAAAATATCATCGACTTTGCACTGCTTTTTCGTCGGTTTTTGTACTACTGATGACATTATCGGTTCCATCGCTTTTGAAGAAAATTTTTCTATCTCAGTTATATCGTTCTTTTCTTTATCTTTTGAATAACTATCTTTATCCTTTGGCTTATCCCGTTCTTTCGTTTTCTCTTTCTCCTTTTCTCGTTCCTTATCTCTCTCTTTCTCTCGCAAAGATTCCCGTGTCCTTTTTCTACAGCTGCCTTCAGACTTTTCTTCTTTTTCTTCGATCTCTGGTTTCTCGGAATGTTTTCGTTTTCGCATAGACGTTGTCGATGTTATTACAGATTCTCCGTCATAACGAGATATCTTCGGTGTTCTGATTCTCCGTCTCGACATCGTTGTCGTTGCTGTAGTCATCGTTACTACTGTGGTGGTGGTTGTGGTGGTGGTGGTGGTGGTGATTGTCGTAGTTGTCGTTGTCGTTGTCGTTGTCGATCCTGTTGCTGACAAGGATGTTGCTTTTGTCGAATTTATCAGATTTGTATTCTTTGAAACAGCCATTGCTCGAGAATTTCTCGATGATGTTGATGCAACATTTTTTGCTTCTACTACCATCTGTTCTTTAATATTTTCTACCGATGCAGTGGCGACAACATTTCGATTCCTTTTTTCCGTATCTTTATTTGCTTCTTTCGTTTCGTTCGATTCCTTTGCTTCCTTCGCTTCTTTTATTGCTTTTATTTCTTTTGGTTCTTTCGCATCTTTGGTAAAAGAATCTCTTTGCGTGGAAGATTTCTGGCCCGTTTTCTGTTTCAACGGCGAAGATCTTCTCTGTCCTAATCTTCTGCTCCTCGGTTTCTTTTTAATCTTTACCTTTTGAATTTTTTCAACGATAGTTGGTACGTGTTTCGGTTCCACGACGGGAGAAGATTCGGAACTGGTATCACCGCTTTCTTCCGGACTTTGATACGGATTAGGAATTTGGGTGAGCAATGGTATCCATCTAAGACAATCAGGATCTAATTTGATACGGGAACTCTTTCGTACTTTCGCCATATGAGCATCCACTTTATTCCAATCGACTACCACAGCTACTTTAGAATTTCCCTCTCCCGGTAAATGGACCGATCTAACAAATCCCAGCAATTGCATAGCTGTTGCGATATCGTGAGCCGACACACCAGTTTCCTTTGTTATATCTCCTAATTTAATATCCGTTGAATCCCTATGAGCATCGAGATATTCAAGTACCACGCTTTTCCAAAATGAATGATACGATACTCGGCCAAGATCGGAAAGCGGTTTTTCCGGCGTCCCAGGGATTCCTTCCACTTTAGACAGTAGATAACTGAATTCAATCAAGAATCTTCCGAATCCTTGTCTTTGATATTGCGGTAGAGTCATGATACATGACACGTTGTATCTTTGCGCGGGACAATGTTTCTCTTTGCTGAAATAACCAACTAAATGACAACCATATTTATCGTTTTTTGTTACTGCGTAAAATAAAAATGGTTCTACATCGTAGTACAGCGTCTTATGATCCAAGAATAATTTCGCTAATAGACACAAATTTTGACAATATATCTTGTTCACATTTCCATCGATCTGAAATATAACAACAACGAATTTTTATTTGATCCGTAATTTCGTCTGTGAGAAAAACAGAAAATGATATCGTTTGCAAATTATATACCTCAAAAACAGATAATCCGTCACATCTGTAGATTTCAGTAGCCGGTGGATGCCTCCATTGACATTTATCCATATGCCTGTCAAGTACGGCCCGACTTTTTGTATATTTTAAACAGAATTCACAGAAGAATAATTTAGGTAATCTTGCGTATTCTTGAGGAAATGGACTGGAATACCATGTCTCTACTTCATATCGACCAAAAACTATGGCCGCGGGATTCCTAATCCCATTCCCAGTATTTCCCGTATTGCTCGTATTGTTTCCTGGATTCACTGTCACAGTTTCCTCGGTATCGTTCACAGTAGTTAATCGAGCTGCTCTATCCCGGGCTTCTTTAAACAGATCAACATCCTTTTGTGTGACACCCGGCGGTAGAGATTGAGGTAGAATTGGTTCCTCTGTAAACAAATGTAACAAATTAGTTTTTTTTATGCTCGTCATTCGTTTCGTTATTCTTCTAATTGAACAGAATAAAGAAAATAATTATTTCTCTCAATAGATCAATTAATCCATGTTAATTTTTCCAATTTCTCATACTTGTTTATCACAAAAAAAAAAAACAAACATTAAATTCGCAGAATAACTTGCAATGCAGACAAATTTTCTTGTTATCAAGACAAAAAAAAATATGTAATAATTTCGATACGATACCAACAATAGAATACTTCGCTTTGGAATAAATAAAATGGGCAAACATAAAATTTACAAAATATTACAATAATTTACCGATATGAAAGTGTTTCGTATTAAAATACAAAATATACTCCATTCAACTCGTCAGAAATAGGATGGAAAAGGAGGGAGGGAGGAGGGAAGGACAAGAAAGAGAGAGAGAAAAAAAAAAAAAAAAAAAAAAAAAAAATGAAAAATATATCCACTAAAGAAACGGAATCATCGTCGCAAAGCATAAATATTAATTTGTGCAAATAATTTTCAATAATAAAACCGTGTGCGATAACAATCGATTAACTTATTATTGTTAATATCGTGGTGAGTAGTATCTAAAGCAAAGCTATAGGGTAGGTGTGGTTTTGTAGGATGTGTTGGCAGAGTATCAAGTTGGCTCTTCGATGGTAAAAAAAACTTTTTTCCTTTTTTTTCTTTTATTTCTTTTCGTTTCTCTCTTTTTCTTTTCTTTTTTTTTTTTTTTTTTTTATTTCTCTCCTTGTATTTGCAATTTCTTTCGTTCTTATATCTTTCTTTCTTTGTAAAATACTTTTTGCTGGAACTTTATGGTGGAAGATATTTATCATAACAATTATATTAATAAGAAGAGCATGTTGAATTTCAGCAGCAACAATTCGATATTATTAATATTAGATGGTTGAGTAAAAGGATATTCCATATTTCTTCATCCTGTTAACTGATCTATATAAGTTTATATAAATTTGTTACGCATCTCTTAATTCTGTTTTTGTTCTTTTTCTTTCTCTCTTTCTCTCTTTTTCTTTTCTTTTGTTCGTAAAATCAAGATATCAAGATGATGATCAAGAGATGAGAGAAATTTTTACGATTTCGGTTGAAGTGTGAATATACTTCAATTGTTTACGAATAATGGTTAATTTCAAAATTTCTTAGTGTAATAATCAATGATTATTCGATAATTATAATGAAAAAACAATAATAGATAAAAAATGATATTATAGATATTTTAGATATCTGATTAAAATTTTTTTGTACAGATATCATTGACCGTACAACTGTAAAAGATTGTTTAAATTAGATATGAAAAGTAAAATAAAAAAATTGTGCGACAGCGAAATTATCATGTGTACGACCCAATAATAGTTGAGTGTATTTGCATTCTACGTGCATTAATTATTATATATTTTATAACTATATGAATATATAGAAGAAGAAAAAAAAGAGTACATATAGAGCCAAACAACAGCGTTATTAGTTAGAACATGCAATAATCATATAAGAGTTTTCATAATGTAAAACGAATGGAAATATTACATATAGAATAGCAAATAATGTGAAAATGAATCAAAATAAAAAGAACGCATTCGTACGCGTTACATATGGCACAAATTTCCATATAATAGAATATTATTTATATTTTTATATGAAACAAATTTCCATGTTTTACATCACAAAATAAGCGATAAACAACACGTCCTATCAAGGAACCTGATTGTTCTTGATCCGCATATGGTTTAATTTGTTCGTTATTTGTTATTTAATACATTACATATCGAATTAAACGATGGGAATAATTTGGCCCAGTTAGTAGAGAACAATCACGTTTTCTTGAAATAAGTTGCGACAGACGTACATTTACACACACATCATACCACACCACACCGCCAACACATCCACGTGGTGGTGAGCGAGGATTAGATTAGAGGGAATTCTTCTTTGCGACTTGGGTGCATCATCGAGGTTAGGATTCGTGAACGGGTGGGGTAGATTCTTACCCTTCCTGGTGGAGCAGGGTGTCGCGCGGGGTGTCGTGGTGGTGTTGGTGGTGGTGGCGCTAGTACAGGCTCGTGGATTGGACTTTAGGCTGGGATTTGATTTCACGGAATCAGAACTCAGGCCGGACCTCGAAACAGCGGGCACAGGGTGGCGTGTTTGATTCACTTCCACAAGAATATTTTTCTTTCGCGAAGATTGATCGGGCCTAAGAGCTGACATCGATGGCAATGATGATGATGACGATGATATTGACGATGACGATGACGAAAGCGACGATAACGGTAATGCTGATGGCGGTGATGATGATGATAATGACGATGACGATGACGACGACGACGACGACGATGATGGCGACGACGATGACGACGATGACGACGACGAAGATGACGACGATGACGACGACGATGACGACGACGATGATGATGATAATGATGATGGTAACGGTAACGGTAACGATAATGGTAAGGGTGACGATAACGATAACGGTAATGGTAACGGTAATGGTAACGGAAATGTCGACGATGACGATAATGACGACGACGATGACGACGACGATGACGACGACGATGACGACGACGACGAGGACGACGAGGACGAGGACGATGACGATGATAATAACGGTGATGGGAATGACGGTAAAGATGCATCTGTCGCAGTTGCACACTTTACTAATGGCGTATCATCTTTCATTAGCTTTCTTCTCTCGTGTTCGTGTCTCTTACTATTAACCGCGGTTTTAACTAAATTCGACGGCGTCATTTTTGGCATTTTTTCATTAAGAGAACTAAACAATGTTTCATCAGAAGGTGTAAATATTCCAGGCCGAGGAATTCTCGTTATATCGTTCCTTATCTCCGTCTTCTTTTTTTCTTTTAATTTGCCTAAATCAGACGATAGATTATCATTCTTATTAATTTGCGTTCCTTTTAAAACTTTATTGATCTTGTTATCGCTATCATCCGAATTAGGCCGCTTTCTTCTATCAGGCGCATAATTAGGCGTCAAAGCACTGGATCTTACTCTACTGTTAGTAGGTACTGAAAAAAAGTGACTTAATCCATCGAATAGGCCTTTTAATTGACCAGTGCCAGGTTTAATTTTATTTATGTCCACATTATTAAAACTCTCCGATATAGCATTACCATTCCTATTGCTTTTCTGTTTTTTCTTTCCATCAAACGAATTGATAACCGGTTGTATATGCAATCCGAATGTCGATGTACTGGTTACATCGAGTTTAGGTAACGGTGCACCAAAAGTATTGGTAATATTACTAAAAAATGGCGATTCCATGTTGAGTTTAGCTGCGGCAGCGGCAAAACCCCAAGGTTTATCTTCGTTTAAATCACACGAAAACGGACCTCTCGGTTTAGGAGAGGCATTGGTAACAGTACTGTCACCGCCATCGTTACCACCTCCAATAACGACGGAACATTCTTTCCGATTGTCGTTATTGACATCGTCGTCATCGTCGTCGTCATCGTCGTCGTCGTCTTCATCGTCATCGTCGTCGTCGTTGTCGTCGTTGTCGTCGTCATTGTCTTCTTCCGAGGTGGACGAATCGTTGGATGCGCTAGAATTATTACCGTCCACCTCCTCTTCCTCTTCTCCCCCCTCCCTGACCCCATCCCTGACTGCTCCCTCCTCTTCTTCATCGTCATCGTCGGTCGAATCACTGGTGTCGTCGGAAGAATCAGTATCGGTCGCGTCGCTGCTGCTGCTACTGCTAGACATTAGCAGTACCTTTTTACTGGATATGGGCTGTTTTTGGTTCGCGTTTCCCCGAGTTAACCTAGGACTAACGTTCTGAGAACATTTTAATTTTTCACTGCCCCCCACCCGCTTCAATTTATTGTGCTCCGCGTTAAACGCACTCAGTCTAAAAAATTTTTGCTTCTCTTTGGAAATCCGATCGTTTTTCTCTTCAAGTAGCCTACCCTGGCCTGCGAGTGGGGTGGGGGGTTGTGGTAAGGGAGAGGAAATCAAAGGTGGTTGACGAGGGGAGACAACACCCGCATTACCGTCCGAGCTGCTGTCCACCTGTCCCACTCCTGCGCCAGCTTTCTTCACCGGAGTTGAAATCGCCAGGCTCTTTCTCGATATCGTGGATCTGAAACAGGTGTTATCCGTTTCAATTATATCGACCGTCGATCGATAATTCTTTCTTTCCTTCGCTCCGGCCTAAAGATTTAGCCTTTTTATCGCGAGTAGATTTTACAATAGATTCAATTGATCTTAATCAATAATCAGATTTAACTCGATTAATCGATATTTGATAAAAAAAAAAAAAAGTTATACGAGAATCGTGTTTTAATTCAATTCCATCATTTTCATTTCTTCGGTCAAGAAAAAATATTTCTGAATATATTAAAGCGAACATGATTCATTTTTTTTTTAGACTGTTTTAATATCACGTACTACGTCATATAATAAATAAATAAATATATATATATATATTGTATAAGATTTTTTATAATATTATGTTTCTAATAATTATAACATTTAATCGATCGATTAATATTCATTAAAAAATTTATTGCTTACTTTCTATTCTCGCGTAATTTGCTAAGTCTCTTCCTTGCATTGATCGGTGTCTCTTCGAGCGAACTTGCCGTGTCCTGTTGTGTTTTATTCTTTTTATTATCATCTTTTGATACCGGTGTATGCGGTGTTTGACAGTGTCGACATTTCCAGGGTATTTTATTCTTTTTATCAATTGCTGGATCTAGACAAGTAGGATGATAACATTTGACGCAACCGGAACATTTCACTAGATAATTCTGTGATTCCCGTTCTAACTGGCAACCGGCACACGTTGGAGAGCAGTCGTCGCAAGACCACGTTATACCTCTTTCAACAAGGTTCGAAAGTTCAGGTGGTGCGCAAGAATTATGTAAAGCTGCACCGCATACACTACATCTGCTCAGTTTTTCGGAAACATTGCGTTTTGTATTATTATTATTTCCGGCTATCGTCGCGCCAAGACATTCTTTGCATATCGGTAATGGAGCTGGTAACTGCAACAGAATTGAATAATATATTTTGATATATATCCGATTTAATAATAATATGATATATTTATCC